ACAACAAAGACGGTTTCGTCCGCAAATGATGGAGGCGATCGAATCCGAGGTCAAGAAGCTTATTGACTCGGGCTTCGTTCGAGAGGAGCAACATCCAGAATGGCTAGCCAATATTGTCCCAGTCCTTAAGAAGAACGGGAAAGTCAGGATTTGTATCGACTTTCGGGATCTCAACACTGCTTGCCCAAAAGATGATTTTCCCCTCCCCATCACGGATGTCATCATCGACAATACGTGTGGGTTCGAGAGGATGTCTTTCATGGATGGTTTCTCTGGTTATAACCAGATAAAGATGCATCCGGATGATGAAAAGCACACCGCATTCAGAACGCCCCTCGGTGTCTTCTGTTACACAGTTATGCCCTTCGGCTTAAAGAACGCAGGTGCTACATATCAACGAGCTATGTCAAAGATCTTTCAGGATCATCTCCGAAAGACTGTTGAATGCTACGTAGATGATCTGGTCGTGAAAAGTCGTGATAAAAAGGATCACATCAAAGACTTAAAGACCATGTTCGACTTAATGCGAGCCCATCAGTTGAAGATGAATCCTACCAAGTCTTTCCTCGGAATGTCGAGTGGAAAATTCCTGGGATTCGTCGTCACCACCAAAGGTATCCACATCGATCCTGATAAGGTAAAGGCGATCAATGAATTACAACCTCCGAGAAACCTCAGGGAGCTCAGAGGATTGCAGGGGCGATTGGCTTATATCCGTCGGTTCATTTCGAACCTCTCAGGAAAATGCCAGCCATTCTCCAAGCTCGCAAAGAAGGGCGTATCATTTGTATGGGATGAAGCTTGTCAGAAAGCATTCGAGAGCATTAAAGAATATCTCTCAAAACCTCCCGTACTCGTTGCACCGAAATCGGGCAAACCGTTCTTGATTTATGTCAAGGCGACGAGCCATTCATTAAGTGCATTGCTTGCACAAGATGACGATAACGGTCACGAGCAGGCAGTGTATTACTTGAGCCGAACCATGGTGGGCGCCGAGTCTCGATATCCTATGATTGAGAGGGAATGCCTCGCCTTGGTGTTCGCCATTCAGAAGATGCGACATTATCTGGTCGGGCAGACCATTTACGTCATCTCTAAAGTTAATCCGGTTCGAGTATTCATGACTCAACCCGCTTCCATGAGCTGGCGGTTAGCAAAATGGGCCTTACTCTTGTCCCAATACGACTTGCATTTCAAGCAACAGAAGTCGGTCAAAGGACAGGCCATATGCGATCTCCTCGCAGCTAATCCAACTACGGATCCTGCCGAGATATACGACGACCTACCTGATGAAACCCACGAGGTCAACGCAACTTCACACCAACAAGTGTGGCGTTTATACTTCGATGGCGCCTCTCGAGCAGCTCTTGTCACAGATACTCCTGGACGTTCTAAGGTCTCCTCCGGGGTTGGAGTGGTCTTAGTTTCCCCAGGAAAACACGTGATGCCCCGAGCCTATTCATTAACCAAGCCATGTTCAAATAATGTGGCAGAGTATAATGCACTGATTATTGGACTCAACTTCGCTAAGGAGCTGGGGGTTGAGTATCTCGAAGCCTTCGGCGATTCTCAACTAATAGTCAAGCAAGTCCAAGGAGAATATGAAGTCCGAAGTCAGGATTTAATTCCATACCATAAGATGGCAGTGGAGATAGCGGAATCATTTGAAGGATTCTTCATCGAACATATTCCACGGCTACAGAATACCTATGCAGATGCGTTGGCCGCATTGGCCGTGTCACTAGCGCAGCCTCCCGAAACAGAGCAGTTTGTTACGGTAAGAACTCACCAACTCCTAGTGCCGCTTTACAGTGAAGATGCCGAGGAAGAAGAAGTTCAAGAGGTACACGCTACTCAAATCGAGTTCGAACCACGAGATTGGCGTTTCCCCATCATCGACTACGTCTTGCATGGAATCTTGCCAGAAGATGTGAAGGAAAGAGAGTCAATCCGGCGAAGAGCACCCAGATTCTACTACAATACAGAGAATCGAACGCTATACCGCAGGGGGTACGATGGGCTGATATTGCGTTGCCTATCAACCAAAGAAGCCCAAGAAGTGCTTAGAGAGGCACATGAAGGGGAGTGTGGCGCGCACGAGCCTGGCCCCAAGCTTTATGATCGCATCAGAAGAATGGGATATTTCTGGCCTCACATGATGAGCGAAGCAATCACATATGCCCGGAAGTGTCATGCGTGTCAAGTACATGCGAATTATATGCACCAACCTCCGGAGCATCTGCATCCCTCGGTAACATCTTGGCCGTTCGAGACTTGGGGAATGGACATTGTTGGTCCTATAAATCCCCCTTCGATCAAAGGCGACCGGTTCATCCTGGCGATTACCGATTACTTCTCCAAATGGGCTGAAGCAATTCCACTCAGAGAAGTTAAGACGAGCAACGTCATTGGATTCATCAAGCACCACATCATTTACAGGCATGGTGTTCCAAGACGAATCATACATGACAATGGTCCTCAGTTTGTCAGCAACGCCTTCATAAGGTTCTGCGAAAAATTCAAAATTCAGGACATCTCATCAACGGCTTATAATCCCACAGCAAATGGATTAGCTGAAGCCTTCAACAAGACTATCATAAAACTTTTGTCAAAGCTTGTGAAAAGTAACAAGCGAGATTGGGATGACAAGCTCGGTGCAGCACTATGGGCCTATCGTACCACGGTACGTACACCAACCGGTGCAACCCCGTATTCATTAGTATATGGATGTGAAGCCGTTCTCCCTTTGGAAGTTCAAATTCCATCTCTTCGGATCGCCCTTACAACCCAAATGACGACCGAAGAACAGCATCAAAAGCGCCTCGAAGAACTCGAGATGCTCGATGAAAAGCGCCTGGAGGCTCAACAGCATATCGAGTTCTACCAAGCCAGAATTTCTCGAGCCTTCGACAAAAAGGTTCGACAAAGGAGTTTTAAGGAAGGGGATTTGGTCTTAACTGAAAGACATCCTATGAACCTGAGCTCCAAGAAGAAGGGCAAGTTCGAGCCCAAATGGGAAGGACCGTTCGTAGTAGAAACAGTCTACTCAAACGGCGCCTATCGCCTAGTCACCAAAGATGGTGATCGGCTGATGATGCCAATAAATGGCAAATTCCTGAAGAGGTACTATCCTTAGCACCTTTCAGAAGGAGCTGATGTATCGGGAAGTTCCCGGAAGAATACCACATTGGGGTATTCTTAGGGATAACCTGGTCGGTATAAGAGAGATGAACAAGAAGTCCACATTCGAACCCCGAATGTTCTAGTTTGTCAGACTCTAACCCTCATCAGATGAGATCCAATCATTCGAGGGATTAATTTTCCCTCACAAAACTTTCATTGGTGTTCGATTACTCATAGTCTTCGCCACACATTCCTCACTCGGTCAAACCTTACGACAGTTAGGACCAAAGCCAAAGTCCCCTCTCGATTCCTTCAACGAACGAGAGGTCCACAAATCGGGCGGTCAAACTTTCACGTAGTTGTGATCGTTCCAAATTTCCCACTTGGTCAAACCTTACGACAGTTAGGACCAAAGCCAAAGTCCCCTCTCGATTCCTTCAATGAACGAGAGGTCCACTTTCAAACTCCCGAATGACCAAACCTTACGACAGTTAGGGTCATCTCGAACCCTCGCTTAGTCACAACTTACCCTGGTCGAGACTAAGACCGAGTCATCTTTTGTTCAAATGACCAAACCTTACGACAGTTAGGGTCGTTTGAACTTTCCGATTCTCGGAGTGGAGATCCCACTTCTAGTTTCATCCTGCGGATTCTGGAGGTGGAGATCCCACCTCGAGTTTCCCTCTTTTGCTGGAGATAGAATATAAAATTCTTCCTCTCCAGTTCTGAAGATAGAATATAAAATTCTTCCTCTTCAGAGTCAAATGACCAAACCTTACGACAGTTAGGGTCGTTTGAGCCTTTCGGATTCTGGGGGTGTGCCACCTCGAGTTTCCTTTCCAGCTGAAGATAGAATATAAAATTCTTCCTCTTCAGAGTCAAATGACCAAACCTTACGACAGTTAGGGTCGTTTGAGCCTTTCGGATTCTGGGGGTGTGCCACCTCGAGTTTCCTTTCCACCGGGAGATAGAATATAAAATTCTTCCTCTCCTCGGACCTTTCCGATGCTCGGAGTGGCGACCCCACTCCCAGTTCATCATTCCGGGTGCTCGGAGTGGAGATCCCATTCCCAGTTCATCCTTCCAGATACTGGGGGTGGGGAATCCCACCTCAAGTTTCCTTTCCAGCGGGAGATAGAATATAAAATTCTTCCTCTCCTCGGACCTTTCCGATGCTCGGAGTGGCGACCCCACTCCCAGTTCATCATTCCGGGTGCTCGGAGTGGAGATCCCATTCCCAGTTCATCCTTCCAGATACTGGGGGTGGGGAATCCCACCTCAAGTTTCCTTTCCAGCGGGAGATAGAATATAAAATTCTTCCTCTCCTATTTTGACACAACTTTCAACTTCCAATCCGCGCACTTGGTGCGTGGGGAATTTTATCCCGAATCCTAAGTAGGGATAAGTCAACACCTAACACGTGTTGCCGGGTAGCCTATTCCCGTAACAAGGGCAAAGTCTACGTATTCGAAGTCGTAGCAGCAAGTCTAAGGGAGTTCATTCCTTTAGCACAACGTTACATACGGAACGGATTTCGATAATCCGCATGCTAGCCCGATTCAAACGGTGATCGGTAAAGGCACATCAAACCCGTTGAAGGCTGGGGGTTTGCCAAAAACCCCAAAGTCAACGCCTAACACGCGTTGCCGGGTAGTCTATTCCCGTGAGAAAGACGAAGCCTATGTATTCAAGATCATAGCACAAAGCCTCAGAGAGTTTACTCTCTCAGCACAACGTTACATGCGGAACGGATTTCGACAATCCGCATGCTAGCCCGATTCAAACGGTAATCGGTAAAGGCACCTCAAACCCGTTGATGGCTGGGGGTTTGCCAAAAATCCCATAAATCTGTCATTCGGAAGAGATACAGAGAAAACACAAAAGAAGCAAATGCGGATTTTCTATTAATAAATCAAGTCAAAAGCATACAACAAAAGCTCGTTAGTCCGAAGGCAACCGACGGCTAAGAATATGAGACTCTAAACCAGAGAGCCTGTCCATATAGTCCTGCTCGAACTCCGCCTGCAGGCTAGCTCGGACAGAATCTTCGGAACTGTTGAGAACCTCTGCGGCTTCGTGTCGTAGCTTCATCAACCCCTCCTGCACTGATCCCAGCCTGTCGAGTGTCCATTCACGAGAACGCTCCAACCCAACCAGTTCCTCAGAAATGGTAGCGGCAGATTCTTCGGCGCGTTCCAAGGCCTCCTTCAGTCTAGCTATCTCTGCACGAGTGGAATCTAAGGAGCTCACTAACTCAGCTCTGCTGGTGTCTTTCCTCGCCAGAGAGGCCATCAGCTGCTCGACAGTGCGCTCACGTGATCGAAGCTCGCTGCCAACGGAAGATCGCAGTTCATGCCACTGCGTCAACCTATCCTCCACCTGAGAAGATGCAAAAGAGGGAGCTCCACCAGCCTTCAACTCCCTCAGCTCTCGAATCTCTGACTCCAGGGCAGCGAAATCAGCTGTAAAGGAATCGGCCAAATCCGGATATCCCTCTTCCCTCATCATCATCATGTGACGGGAGAAGGAACGCCTGAACTGATCAAAAGAAGACCCTCTGTGCAGAAGCTTATCAATCACGCCGTTATAAAAGGCAGTAAAGAAGCCGAGGTCAGTGCGGAAGACATCCCCATCTGGATTGGTATCGGCCAAGAGAGCATGGACCTGCTCATATAGAGACGGTCGAGAACCTGCAAGCAGCAGTATGGGAGGTCAAGAAACTATTAAATACAATCGAAAAGACCCTAAGGGAAATTCGAGGTATACCTATACCGGCGGAAATCCCCTCGGGTTGGGGTTCGACAGGCTCCGAAGTAACGACAGGAATGCTCATGGAAGGTATATCAACCCTCGTGGGCAAGTCAGTCGTATTAGGCGAAGGCGGGAAAACACCCGAAGCTATAGCAGAATCAGGTACAGCGCCTGGTCATATAGTTGCACTTCTTTATTAGTCAAAATGGAGACTGAGACAAGCAAAGAAGAGAGGAAATTGGATATATACCTGTGGATGAATCACTCTCAAAGAGTGGTCTCACAGTCCCGGTGGGAGCTTGTTCAGCTAACATATCGGCTAACAGTCCAGAGTCAGGTCTCGGGAAGACCGGTGCAGGAACATATCCCTGCTCTTCGAAATCTGCAATAGGGGAGGCCCCATCCCCGTCTGGCCCTTCTGTCGCAACACCTGCAGCACCGGATGTAGGTATATCTGAAAATGAACCGGTGGGATCAACACCATCTGCCTGCCCAAGATCGATGTTCAGATCAATGCCCAGGGAGCCATCACGAAGGGCGTCGCACACCTGCTGCATGAAGCAGTCCATGTTGTCAGCCCCAGAGAATACCGGACCTGGTGGAAGCTCGCCCTCCTCGAAGAACCCTGAATTATGAAACAGGATCAGGGATCCCGGAAGGTAAATCATCTTAAAGCAATAAAAGTGGGTACAACAAAATGTTACCTTCCTCCCCGTCGGCAAAGCCTCCTGAATCTACCCCATGGGAGCGCTGATCAACATGAGGTTTATGGGCAATCTTTTTCCTTTTCGAAGGATCACCCCTCATAGAACCAACGGGGCGGTCATGCGAAGTTTGGCCACCAAACTTGGATTTCGCACGACGGGAAGCGAGCGACCCATGGTCGTCGGCTACCCCACCTGAAACAACAAGAATCATCTCATGAACCAGATCTTTCGCCAATACCAATTGAAGTCGAGAAAGAGGATCAAAGAGCATGACAAACCTGTATCAAGTTCTGCTTGGTCGGTATCTATATCTGCATACTCCCCTTCGGGAATTCCGGTGGACTTCTTCCTCTGTCTCTGAGCAGGCTCAGCCCTGCGAGCAGCCATCATAGCAGATTGAACCAAGTGATCGGATTCTAGTTCCGAAAGACTCCTCACACTTATGGATTCATCGGCAGAGAGGAACCATTTACAGCTGAGGAAGGTAATCATCGGCTTGCGTTTATAGGAGGGAAGAGCAAACTGAGCCCCGGTGCAGCCAACCATGGTCCATAACCACGCCCGTACGCCGTCAACGAGTCCTCCCTCAACACGCAAACTACGACTCGGATTCCCAACGTATAGTTGGTCATAGCCAAACTGACGTGCGAAACGGCAGGGAAGGTAAGGCTCTATGTGGCAGCGGTCCTTCACCCGGAGAACAAGATACCCGACTCGGATGTTCACCAACCAGCGGAAACAACCGACGTCGAGAGCAGTCCGGTTAGTTCGGGGTTTCTCCATATCAGTCAACTCCTCGCCATAACGTCCCGAAAAGCGAGGGAAGCATTTGAAGAACTCCCAGTTCCTGCGAACTCGAAGTTCTTTTTGTACATCTTCAAATTTCTTCCCAACCCATCTACTCTCCTCCAACAGCTGTAGGAAAGGAACGGGAACATCAACGGCGCTGGGCGCCGACATCAAGTCCGGACGGTGAAGAACGAACCACGCCATCAAATAAGCGTAGGGCAGCTCAACCTTCGGGCAGGTAAGCTCAGTCGAGGGTTTAGAACCCACTTGGGTAAGAACACGAACTACACCCCTAAGCCCGCAATGGATGCTGGCAACCATCGCTGGAAGCAGAGAAAGCTCCCTCCCATAAGCTAGCTGGACCGCAGGGAAGAGCACCTCGAGGGGTAGAGCGTCTGAAGACTGATATGGAACAACACACTTCTTCAGCCAAAGAGCAAGGTAGCCAGCTAACAGAGACCGAGGATCGATAGACTTCTGGGCATGATAGAGGAACGATCGAAACTTAGTCCCGGCCGGAAAAGCCCCCTCGGCACTAGCAATGGTATAAGAATGAGTTTCATTCTTCTCCATCAGCTCATTAATAGCGGCAGGGGTCAAAACGCCTAACTCATGTATGGACTCCTCGGAATCATCCTCCCCTCTGGAAGTCTGCTCAGCCAGCATGTCAGCTAATAAGCCGGCATCGGGCTTCGAAAAACTTGGCCCCTCCATTGCAACATCTGTAGGGTAACCTGAATGTTGAAAGAGGAGGAAAGCTCGAGAAAATACTCTCAGCAAAAACGGGAGATCTTCCTTCCCCATGCTTGAGGAAAATGACATTGGATGTAGATATACCTGAATAAGGGACTGTGGGCTCAACATTATTCATCTGCTCAAGATCAATGTTTAGATCGATGCCCAAGGACCCATCATGAAGGGCATCGCACATCTGTTGCATAAAGCAATCCATGTTATCAGCACCAGGAGATATCGAACCCGGTTGGAGTTCACCCTCTTCGAAGAAACCTGGAGCACGAAACATGGTTACAAATCCCAAAAGGTAAACAATCTTAGAGCAATGGCAATAAAATGTTACCTTCCCCTCCATCAGCGGTACTTCCTAAGTCCACTCCGCAAGGGCGCTGACCGTCGTGGGGCTTATGTGCGGTCTTCTTCCTCTTCGGGGCACCAACCCTCCGAGGACCAAAGGGTCGGTCATGCAAAGGCCTGTCACACGTTTTAACGTGTGTAGGAGCCGGCGGCTCATGATCGTCGGCTGTCCTACCTAAAGTAACAATAGCCATTTCATTCAATGAATAAGAGCTATCATTTATGGAAAAGGAAAACCAAAGAAGCAGGACAAACCGGTATCGAGATCCCCTCCGCCGGTATCTGCATCCACATACTCTTCCTCGGAGGTCTCGTCATCGTCACCGGAGCTCTTCTTCGTCTGTGAGAAGAGATTTGGCATGCCCTTTTTTCCGCTTCCGAGCAAGCTCAGCCTTGCGACCAGCCATCATAGCAGCCCGGACCGCATACTCGGACTATAACTCTGAGAGGCTCTTCACGCTGATGGACTCATAGGCAGAAAGCAACCACTTGCAGCTGAGGAAAGTGATCAGTGGCTTACGCCTATACGAAGGAAGAGCAAAGCGAGCTCCAGTACAGCCCACCATCGTCCATAGCCACGCTCGTACGCCATCAATCAGTCCTCCCTCAATCTGCAGGCTACGGCTTGGATTTCCGACATACAGTTGGTCATAGCCGAACTGGCGAGCAAAGCGGCAAGGGAGATAAGGTTCTATGTGGCATTGGTTCTTCACCCGGAGGACAAGATACCCAACACGGATGTTCACTAGCCACCGGAAACAACCAGCGTCGAGAACGGTCCGATCACTTCTAGGTTTCTCCTCGTCAATCAGCACGTCGCCGTAGCGACCTGAAAAGTGAGGGAAACACTTAAAGAATTCCCAGCTCTTACGGACTCGAAGCTCTTGCTGAACATCACTAAACTTGTTCCCGAGCCATCTGCTCTTCTCCAACAGCTGCATGAAGGGGACGGGGATGTCAACAACGCTGGGCGCCGACATTAAATCGGGACGGTGAAGAACGAGCCACGCCATCAAATATGCGTAAGGGAGCTCAACCTTCGGACAAACAAGCTCAGCTGATAGTGCAGAGCCCATATGTGTGAAACTACTGACCAGACCCCTGAGCCCGCAATGGATGCTAGCAACCATTGCTGGGAGCAGGGAAAGCTCTCTCCCGTAGGCTAGCTGAACTGCAGGGAAGAGCACCTCGATGGGTAGAGCATCTGAAGGCTGGTGCGGGACAACACACTTCTTCAACCAAAGGGCGAGATAGCCTGCTAATAGAGTCCGGGGCCCAATGGACTTCTGTGCACGGCGGAGAAAAGAGCGAAACTTGGTCCCCACGGGAAAAGCTCCCTCAGCACTGGCAATAGTGTAAGATTGAGCCTCAGCCTTCTCCAGCAACTCATTAACCGCAGAAGGGACCAATATATCTAACGCATGAATGGACTCGTCGGAGTTACCCTCCAAGTTCTGGAACAAATAGCAGGCAAACTGCTTCAAGCTGACCTGCCTCTTCCTCTTCGCTTGAGGAGAAGTCTGAACCAAGGAGGTGTGATAATGACAGGTAAGATCCCAGAGAGTGTCATACATGTCGGGAGTATCTTTCTTCATACACTCCAGCTGCTGGTTCGAGGGGAAATACTCCTGATACGGACAATCTCCCATCGGAAGACCCGAAACATAATGCATCTCATGCAAAGCTAGCCCTAGCTCACCACCACTGGTCAGAAAAGTGTTGCTGTCAGGCATGTAGGTCTCCAGCAAAGCCAAGAAATGGCGACAGCTGACTGGGATTCCGTACATAGTAGCTCGTATGGGCACGTACAACCCACTGCTCTTCAGATCCCTCTCCCAGCACGCCAAGACGAAATCAGTCATGCGAGCCCACCACCCTTTGGCTAGTGAGGAAGCCCAGCCATAGCATCTGGGCTCTGGTGGAGGTAATCGCCTCCCCAGAAGAGCCAGACGATTACCCACAGTAGAGGCAGCTGCTGACGTCTCACCTGGGGGTGCAGTATCAAGGCCCGTGATCCCTGGGCAAAGACCACGAATATGGTGATACCCGCCAGAACCAGGGGTCTTAGAATGAGAGGTATATCCACACGGGACTCGCTCAGCATCCTTAGTAAGATCCCAGGACATCTGTCGCCTCACGGCCTGTCTCCTCAAATGGGTAAAAGAATAAGCTGCTGACACCTCGCCTGGGGGTGCAGTGTCAAGGCCCATAATCCCGGGTCGAAGACCACGAACGTCATGATACCCGTTAGAGCCGGGGGTCTTGTGGTGAGTGGCATATCCACACTGAACTCGCTCAGCATTTTCAGTAAGGTGCCAAGACATCTGTCTTTCCACGGCCTGCCTCTTCAAGTGACTAAAAGAATATTGGCGTGGAATCGAGGGGATGTACAAACAAGCTCCACCGTCAAAAGTCAACCAGTGCTCCTCGCCAAGAGTCAGTGCAGCAGGATCCTCGACAAAAATTCATAAGAAGAATGATAAGCTCATCCACGGAATAATTGGAGTGACGATTTTGAGCATCCTACACTGGAAGAACGGTATGCATCATCACGTGAATAACGTGGTAACATACACCGAACTATAAGGTGTAGGACGGCACAAAATCGCCCCGATATACAAGAAGACTTGAATTGGCTAAGCAAAACAAGTCCGAAACCTTAACCTCCGTATTGGCATGAGGAGGAAGGCTGCCCGCAGGAAACTCTACTGCAATAAAGCACAAGGGTGGAGTCAGAAAATTCATAAGAAAAATGATAGACTCATTCACGGAATAATTGGAGTGACGATTTTGAGCATCCTACACTGGAAGAACGGTATGCATCATCACGTGAATAACGTGGTAACATACACCGAACTATAAGGTGTAGGACGGCACAAAATCGCCCCGATATACAAGAAGACTTGAATTGGCTAAGCAAAACAAGTCTGAAACCTTACCCTCCGCGAGAGAGGTATCGGTTCTTCCTTCATGACCCGCAAAGAGGTCAATCAGGGATGCAAGAAGAAAAAAATCTGCATAAAGCCTCACCCCCGAAGAATGAGGCCGCGGGAGGAGACATCGCAGGAACCTCTTCCTCACTATGCTGTGAATGAGAACGGCTCCTCCGGGGTCGAGATCGACGAGGAGACATTGCAAATCTGCAACGAAAAAGCAGCAAGTCAGGTACAATCTAAAACATGGATACACGAAATTTAAAAGGGAAATTAAGAACTTTAATTAAAATCCTATACACAAATAGGATTTCATAATTGAAGTCTAATTAAACCTACAAATTTCGTGCATGCGAGACAATGATTGTCATTTTCGCGATGAATTTTGGTGAAATACCCAAAATACCCTTTGTGTTCAAGGCCAAAATTCGGGTCAAGGAACGCTCGGGTTGGGTCATGGTCATCATATCTGACCATATAGCACCCCCCGATACCCCACGATTTTGGTTAATTTTACAAATGAGCCCTTTTGTAGAATTTAACCAATTTTGCAAACAAACCCCTCTAACAATTTTTGGTCCTCTTGCCTAAAGTACCCCTCAAACTTTCGGCCAAATGAGCATGTAATCTAGGTCCTAACTTCAGTCCTCTATTACATGAACACCACCCCAATTCTTTGGCCAATTTGGCAAATAAGCCCCCAAAAGTTTTCGGCCCCATATTTGCACATAAAACCCTCAATGAGGTAGGGTCTTTTTGCATGAAACACCCATCCAAATTGTTACCAAAGGGGTATGAAATCCAAGCCTCAAAAGTTCAGTCCCATTTTGCAAATAAGCCCCCATGAATTTCAGTCCCATTTTGCAAATAAACCCCCCAAAATTCGGCCATATGGCCTCTTTTGCATAAACCCCCCAAGGCATTGTGCATACACAACCCCTTTGCCTACTACACGAATAAAGATGCAATCTTTACAAGAAAATAGGACGATTGTGAAGAAGGACTTACCAAATCAAAGGGGTTTCCTTTGAGCTTGAAGATGAAGGAGAGAACCCTACACCCCAAGGGTGTCTCGGCAAAGCCGAGACACCCCAGGGTGTCCTGGTTTTGTCGGGACACCCCCGGGGCGTCTTGAGTCTGTTTTGACCCCCCGAACTTTTCTTTGAGCCCCAAATCACACCAATTCTTCGCCAATCGTTGAATACTGATGAACCCCACTCAACGGGTTGCGAGCAAAGTCAACCTTTGACGAATCAAAACCCTAGGGTGGACGCCGGTCAACGCGTAACCCTAGGTCAACACCAGTCAACGCGTTACGACAAAAGTCAACGTTCGAGATTCAAAATCCACACCAATCAACGTTTGACGATTCAAAACCCTAAGGGTCAACGCCGGTCAACGCGTAACCCTAGGTCAACGACAGTCAATGCGTTGCAACAAAAGTCAACATTTGATGATTCAAAACCCTAAGGGCCCACGCCGGTCAACGCGTAGCCCTAGGTCAACGCCAGTCAACGCATTGCGACAAAAGTCAACGTTCGAGGATGAAAATCCACACCAATCGACGTTCGACGATTCAAAACCCT